CCATACTTCAGATCCATGGCTAATAGAACGTCTAAAGCCATGAAATTCCAAACTTTATGGCCATGCATGGTTACAATGAGCCCAAAAGATAAAACTCCAACTCCTGAACCCATTAAGACCCTTCAAAACTTGCATGGAGGATTATGAAGACCCAAGATTGCATTTTTATGATTCTAGACTCACTATTATGCTTGAAAGGACAGTCCAAACCGCTGGAGCATTCCCAACTCACAAAGATCAAGTCTTTGGGACCAAAATAACATACACTAGCCCTAAATCAAGATCTAAAAAATGAGACATCAAGATCTGAACTTTATACCTCAAAATGATTCTCCAAGATGTCAAGAGTCCAGATCCACAAGCTAGAGAGCAACCACAATACTCCAAAGATCTTCCTTCCCTTATCAAGAACACTAAATGTGTAACACCCGGTCTTAGGTACGCATTTAATTCAAGTCAAACTTCATGTTTTACCCTTGGACTCGACGACTTGGAGGCTCAACCCGTCGAGTAGGATCGACTCCGGGTCGGGGAACAAAGTGACCTACTCGACGAGTCGGAAGACTGACTCGGCGAGTAGGAGCTGTCTGATGGAAACCCTAATTTTAGGGTTTGTCCCCCTATTTAAAGAAACATAACACCCTTGTGGCCTCCCTTATCACTCCTTCAACGTCCAGAAAGCCCTAAACCGCCACCTTTGAGCTTTGTGATTATTTGGGTGCCATTTCCTTAAGTTATCTTGTGTGTTTGAAGTTGGGTAAAGAAGAGGAAGAGGGAGGTCATCAAGAGAAGATTTCAGATCCAGAATCAGCACCATCTTATCCTCATTTTCTGGTAATAAAGCTTCACACTTGACTTATGATTTCCTAGATCTTCTTATGGCTATTTTGGGCTTTGAAGCTTGATCCTTGGGATTTGGACGTCCCAAGTTCATACACCTTCAGATCTGGACCTTGAAGGGTCCTCATGGCATAAAGGTCCCATCTTTATGGTCATTAGAAACCCCATGCATGCTATTAACCCCATTTTGACCTTTTAAGCTCAAATGCTTCATGCATGCACGTAAAGTTTACGACGTTACGTGTTATATCGGCCTTAGGAGCACAGATCTACCTTTTGGTTTAGCTTTGCACATCAGAAATCGACTTATGAGCTTGGTCATTCGTACACTCGACGATTCAGTTTTGGGACTCGGCGAGTCGTGGGTTGATTTTCCAAATCAGTTTGGGGTTCAAAGGAACCCAGTTGAGTTTTAGAAGAGATTTAGATTAGTCCAGAGGAGTGAATAAATGTATTAAGAGATAGCCATGGCCTGGAAACCATGGGACTCGGCGAGTGGAAGAACACACTCGGCGAGTCCAAGGCAATCTCCCAACCCATCAAGATTGAATCGACGAGTTGTTCATACAACTCGGCGAGTCACAGTGTGGACATGTTCATATGATGAATATAGACTCGATGAGTTGTTCATATAACTCGGGGAGTCGGTTAAAGGTTGTCCCGGTGTCATGAATGAAGGAGAACTCGTCGAGTTCTTGCTAAACTCGGCGAACAGAATCGGGTTGAGGACAAATAAAGGACTAGGGGACTCGACGAGTTAGCGGGCCAACTCGGCGATTCAGGTCAACAGGAAGTTGACTTTGACCAGGATGTTGACTCTAGCCAGGGGTAAAAGGGTCATTTTACCCTGATAATTGTTATCAGTGTTTTACTAAGTGTCATTGTGGAAATTATAGCTGGGGAGTCGTCGGAGCAGCAGTCAGATATTTCCCGCTCAGTACTTCAGCAGTCAGCTACGCGAGGTGAGTTTTCCTTCCAGTAGGAACGCGTCCACGGCCACAATGCCGGCCTGTTTAAGTTGTAGAGTATGTCGGGGTTAGCCCAATGCAGTTTATAGGTTTCGGACCTCGGTCCGATGCCGGGGCGGTCCCGAGAAGTAATTATGTATGCCTGATGTCTTTGTGATTCATGCATGTTTATGTGTTATGTGTTATGTGTTCCGGGGTAATCCCGATGCCGGGGAAAGCCCGATATATGTTAATTATTATGCCATAAGTTATATGTTCTGGGGCAAGCCTGATGTATGCTTGTTTATATGTTATGATTATGTGTTTCGGGCTTTGGTCCGATGTCGGGGCAATCCCGATGCATATTATATGTTTATGATATGTTATGATGTGTATGTGTCGGGGTAAGCCTGATGCCCGATGCGGTCGGATGCCGGGGTGAGGCCGATGTCGGACAGGAGTTCGATATCGGGTAAGCTGATGTTGGGATTCGTTCCGATGCAGTTGGGAGTAGTCCCAGAGTTATGTTATTGCTATACGTGCTTTGTATGGTATGTAGTAGTTTGGGGGAGCTCACTAAGCTTCGTGCTTACAGTTTCAGTTTTGGTTTCAGGTACTTCAGCTAGCAAGGGAAAGGGCTCGGGATGATGGCATGGCACACACCACAGTTTTCTTATCCTAGGAGTTTACTCTGATATGTTATATGAGATTGTGACATGATGACAGATTTTATGAGATCTGAGATACATGTTTTATGATTTTTAACTATGGCGATGATATTTATGTTTGTTAAATGATTTTGAAAACAAATTTTTTTTGCTAGTATTGTTGGGATGTTTCAAGTTGGTATCAGAGCCTTGGTTTGAGGGATTCGGGCACACTCTCGGGTGTGTCTGGACTGAAACTGAGGAATTGGTATGGAAATTTTAAAAAGGAAAATCATTTTTTTAAATAGGGCTTTGAGAAAAGAAAATAATTTCTAGAAAAAGAAAAGAGTTTTGAAAAGAGAAAAGAATTTTGAAAAAACAGAGAAAAGGGTGTGGTGCATGCAATCAGCCGAGCTCAAGTAAGTACTCCCAAATTACCCATACAAGTTTATGCTATGTTATGATTATTAGCTTTATTAGAATAGCATGCTAGATTAGGGCTAAGGATCTAGGAAGGATGCCTTATGTGCCTATTATATGTGTTCAGCTTTATGAGAACTGCATGCTAGTACAGATTAGTTAGTATGATAGCCAAAGTAGTAGATGCTTGATTATGTGTACTCGATGCTCGAATGCTGCTTGCTTTGTGCTTTTAGGAGTCTTAGTTATCTTTCACTAAGTAGTAAACGAATATGTTACGTTGCATATTGTAAGGACTAAATAATTTCAGAATGTTAAGTCTAGCTCTATTTCGCAGCTCTTATCTGAGTCCAACCGTTGTAGAGTAGGATATCTCATTCGAAGAATTATCTGGTCTGAGTAATATGTAATAGTATTCGCGAGCTAGTTAGTGAAAGAAAGCAGGGAATTCTTATGCAACTGATGGCGGAGAGTGAGTTGATGATTACCCTAGGGCAAGCCTAGGAAGAGTTTAGTATGAGATCGGCAGTAGTAGTAGTAGAAGGGACTTGGTGGAGTCGAGGTAGTTCTTGAGGAAAGTACGGATAGATGTGGAAGGTAGTATGGGCCCGTACTACTGAAAGAAGAGGATCCGTACTCAAATCAAGGAAGGCTGAGATAAGACCAGGGAACTAGTAGTGTATATGATCCCTCCAGTTATATTAGTATTCTGATGTTTTTTATGATGTGTTTCAGAATGGTGGTTTTGCGCTCTATACCAGCAGTGGGTAGCTCAGGTGCAGGAGAGGGATCGGGCTCAGGCTCTGGAGCCAGGCAGTTAAATGAGCAGACCAGGGAGTTATCTCCTTGGAGGTCACATGCAGCATACTAGACCAGACTCCTGTGATTTTTGGGTCGGACAAGGAGGGTATCTTAGAGCTTGTGGACGAGAAGTTAAGCGTGTTCCGTACTGAGATAGTAGCCATGATGGGATCGCGCACCTTGACTTTCAGGGAGTTCAGAGCTTGTGGAGCTCCCGGCTACCATGGGGCTCGGGACCCCATTGCGAGCACTAGATGGTTGGCAGATGTCGCCAACGCGTTCCGTACCAGCAAATGTCCCGAGGGGGACAAGGTCAGATTAGCATCTTGTCTTCTGAAGCACAGGGCACAAGATTGGTGGGAGGAGGTCGGGAGAGCCATTGGAGACGAAACTGTGTTGGATGTTATGACCTGGAGTGATTTCACGACCAGGTTCAGAGCGGAGTTCACACCTGTTATTGAGGTGCAGCAGCTTGCTAGGGAGTTTTAGGACCTCCAGCAGACTACGGAGACTGTGGCGGAGATTACTACCAAGTTTAGGGAGAGGGGTCTTCTTGTTCCGCAGTATGGGGCGGACGAGGAGATGAAAAAGGCCCGATATCATGAGATGTTGCGGAGTGATATCCGCCAGTTTGTAACCCGATCCATCTGTAAGACGCTGGAGGATATGATAGCGAGGGCTCGAGAGAGAGAGAGAGAGAGAGAGAGAGAGAGAGAGAGAGAGAGAGAGTTGGATTTAGAGATGGAGAGGAAGAGGAAGCTAGAGGGGGTTCAGTTAGGAGGTTCGGGCAAGAAGCCCAAGGTATCATATCACAGATCTTGGAGCCAGCAGAGCCACGGACGTTGTGGCAAATGCGGCAGGATGCACGAGGGGGCGTGCAAGGCTGGGAGCTCGGGCTGCTACAAGTGCAGCCAAACGGGTCACGTGATCCGAGATTGTACAGCTACTACCACCACCACACCAGCATCAGACCTGATTTGCTTTCAGTGCAATCAGAGGGGACACAAGCGGTCCCAGTGCTTGAGCTTAGCAGCAGCAGGGAAGGTGGCAGCACCTTCTCCTGCCACCTTGAGGATTACAGATGGCCGTCAGGGCTGGGCTGAGGTGCCTACAGCGCGGATCAGGGCTTTTCAGCTTACTGCAGAGGAGGCACGAGCAGCTCCTGACATGGTGGCGGGTATGTATTTTCCTCTTACCTCTGTTTTTGATATTTTTGTTTCTTATATCTATGTGTTTACGTATATGGTCGTTCTTAGTGAACGACATTTCAGCTATGGTATTGTTTGATTCGGGGGCTACCTGATCATTTGTGTCGCTTTCGCTTAGCAAGCGATTTAACAGAGCTATGGGGGAGCTGGATTGTCCACTTGACGTGGAAATAGCATATGACAAGACCGTGAGGGTCGCGAGAGTTCATAGAGGATGTACACTGCGGTTATTTGATGAGCAGTTCCCAGTAGATTTGGTTCTTATTCCCCTGCGAGGGAACAAGGTTATAGTGGGTGTGGATTGGCTGAGTTCCAATGGAGCAGTGATAGATTGTGAGCAATAGTTGGTTAGAGTCCGCACTCCCAGTGGGGGAGAGTTAGTGATTCAGGGCGAGAGGCCACAACGCGGACCAATTCTTTGTTCAACAACGAGAGCGAGGCGCTACTTTCAGCAGGGTTGCGCGGGGTACGTCGCCTATGTTATGGATACCCGGGATAAGGGTAAGGCGACTGTTGATGATGTACCGGTGGTACGAGAGTACCCGGATGTATTCTAGGAGGATTTGCCTGGGATACCTCCTGAGAGACAGGTTGAGTTCCGGATCGACCTGGTCCCAGGTGCGGCTCCGATAGCCAAGGCACCATATCGGTTGCCTCCTCCTGAGATGCAGGAGGTATCTACGCAGCTGCAAGAGCTGCTAGACAAGGGTTTTATCAGGCCGAGCAGTTCACCATGGGGAGCCCCGATCCTGTTTGTGAAGAAGAAGGACGGGTCACACGGTATGTGCATTGATTACCGGGAGCTGAATAAGGTAACAGTGAAGAACCGTTACCCACTTTCGAGGATAGATGATTTATTCGATCAGCTTCAAGGAGCATCTTGGTTTTCTAAGATTGAACTACGGTCCAGATATCACTAGATGCGGGTCAGAGATGATGATGTGCAGAAGACCGCTTTTAGGACCCGCTATGGTCATTATGAGTTTGTGGTGATGCCGTTTGGGCTCACCAATGCTCCAGCCGCGTTCATGGATCTCATGAACCGCGTGTGCAGACCGATGCTGGATCGGTCTGTGATTGTATTCATTGACGATATCTTGGTTTATTCCAAGACTGAGGAGCAGCATGAGGAACACCTGAGGGAGGTGCTTGAGATCTTGAGGAGGGAGAGACTTTTCGCAAAGTTCTCGAAGTGCGAGTTTTGGTTGCGCGAGGTACAGTTTCTGGGGCACCCTGTCAACCAGAAGGGTATATTAGTGGATCCGGCCAAGATTGAGGCCGTGATGCAGTGGGAGATCCCGAGGTCTCCATCTGAGATTCAGAGCTTTCTGGGATTGGCAGGGTACTACAGGATATTTATCCAGGATTTCTCGAAGATAGCAGTTCCGCTGACCTGACTGACCAAGAAGTCGGTGGTGTTTCGCTGGGGTCGTGAGCAGCAGACAGCCTTTGAGATGCTCAGGCAGTGACTGTGTGAGGCGCCGATTCTTACCCTGCCAGAGGGAGTAGATGATTTCGTGGTTTACTGTGACGCCTCGATCACAGGTATGGGAGCGGTGTTGATGCAGCATGGGCATGTGATAGCTTATGCCTCGAGACAGCTGAAGCCTCACGAGGCTAACTACCCAACGCATGATTTGGAGCTGGGGGCTGTGGTGTTCGCCCTCAAGATTTGGCGGCATTACCTTTATGGGGTCCGATGTACTATCTACACAGACCACAAGAGTTTGAAGTACCTCATGGATCATCCGAATCTTAACATGAGGCAGCGTCGGTGATTAGACGTGGTAAAGGATTACGACTGTGAGATCCTTTATCACCCGGGCAAGGCCAACGTAGTGGCCAACGCCCTGAGCCGCAAGGCGGTGGCAACTCCGATCCAAGATACCTGTCTGCGGAGGACAGTGGTTACTCCATTATTGGAGCAGATCCGAGAGGCGCAGGTTGAGGGCCTGAAGGAGGAGCGCCAGAAGTGCGAGAGGATAGTGGGACGAGTAGCTTCGTTTGATTACGATAGTCGAGGTTTGTTGACCCTTCATGGGAGGGTCTGGGTACCGTACTAGGGCGAAGTACGTCAGGTGTTGATGGATGAGGCCCACAAGTCTCGATTCTCCATCTATCTAGGGGTGACGAAGATGTACAGAGATTTTCGACCCGACTACTGGTGGCCCTCCATGAAGCGGGACGTAGCTTGGTATGTGGAGAGATGCCTGACCTGCAGGAAGGTCAAGGCAGAGCACCAGAGGCCCCACGGCAAGATGCATCGGTTAGACATTCCCGTGTGGAAATGGGAGGATATCACTATGGACTTCATTACTAAGCTTCCCAGGACCGCACGTGGGGTTGAATCTATATGGGTCATCGTGGATCGGTTGACCAAGAGCGCCCATTTTATACCGATCCAGGAGAGCATCTCGGCCGAGATTTATGTGCGAGAGGTAGTGACACATCATGGAGTGCCTGTCTCGGTGGTGTCAGACCGAGATGTCCGGTTTACTTCCAGGTTTTGGAAGCGGTTTCACGACGAGATGGGTACTCGTCTCCATTTCAGCACCGCTTTCCACCCTCAGACGGACGTACAGAGCGAGAGGACGATTCAGACTCTCGAGGACATGCTTCGGGCATGTGTGCTAGACTTCGGTGGCAGTTGGGATACGTATCTTTCGTAAGCGGAATTCTCGTATAACAACAAATATCACTTCAGTATAGACCGGCCTCCCTTCGAGATGCTCTACGGGAGGAAGTGTAGGACCCCAATCTGTTAGGGTGAGGTCGGTCAGCGAGTCATGGGGAGTACAGAGGTGGTAATCAAGACTACGGAGTGGATTCAGCAAGTCCGGAGCAGGCTCCAAACTGCTCAAAGTCGGCAGAAGAGTTACGCCGACAAGCGGCGATCGGACTTGGAATTTCAGGTGGGCGATATGGTCCTCCTGAAAGTGTCACCCTGGAAGGGTGTTATCAGGTTTCGGACGCGGGGCAAGCTGGGACCCAGGTTCATTGGTCCGTTCAGGGTTATGGCCCGGGTAGGTCAGGTTGCCTATCGGTTAGATCTTCCAGCAGAGCTCAGCCAGATCCACAGCACGTTCCACTTTTCTCAGTTGTGGAAGTGCTTAGTTGATGATTCAGCAGTGGTACCCCTTGAGGACATTCAGATTGACGACGACCTAAACTGCATCGAGAGACCCGTGGTGATTTTAGATCGCAAGACGAAAGAGCTGAGAAACAAGAGAGTAGGGTTAGTGAAAGTGCAGTGGCAGCCCCGCAAATGCTCGGAGTGGACGTGGGAGCCCGAGGAGGAAATGAGACAGCACTACCCAGAGTTCCTTTTCAGAGACAGCAGACTTTGAGGGCAAAGTCAAAGACAAGTGGGGGAGAGTTGTAACACCCGGTCTCAGGTATGCATTTAATTCAATTCAAACTTCATGTTTTACCCTTGGACTCGACGAGTTGGAGGCTGAACTCGTCGAGTAGGATCGACTCCGGGTCGGGGAACTAAGTGACCTACTCGCCGAGTCGGAAGACCGACTCGGCGAGTAGGAGCTGTCTGATGGAAACCCTAATTTTAGGGTTTTTCCCCCTATTTAAAGAAACATAACACCCTTGTGGCCTCCCTTATCACTCTCGTAACGTCCAGAAAGCCCTAAACCGCCACCCTTGAGCATTGTGAGTATTTCGGTGCCATTTCCTTAAGTTATCTTTTGTGTTTGAAGTTGGGTGAAGAAGAGGAAGAGGGAGGACTTCAAGAGAAGATTTCAGATCCAGAATCAGCACCATCTTCTGTGACAACCCGAAACTTTGTCCGTTTCCGTTACGCGATTTCGTTAATAAAATTTCGAATTCGTTAACTTTCCGTCAAACTTCTTGGTTTAGAAAATAATCTAGTTATATATAATTAAATTATTTGCGTGTCGGAACCAAAAATCGTGCGGAAACCCGTTTATCTCGAAAAATCAAACATTTCCGGTCTAAGTGAGGTTACGGCCGTAAACCCGTTTACGGTCAGTAAAAAGTGGACCCCACCATCGACCACAACACCCCTATAAATACGAGACCTCCACCTTTATTAGAACATTTCTGGCCAAAAACTCTCTCCTTCTCTCTCTAAGAACCTTGACCGTAAACACCTGAAAACGCCTTCAAACTTCGGAAATCATCGAGAAACCCCGTTTGGAGTCACATCAGAACGTCTCAGAGCACTTAGAGCGCTTATCTCTTCGAATTCAGCACCAGTGTTGAGTTTACGGTCCACCTTCAGAAACCGTAAACTCTGTTCTTGAGTTTTACGGTCCGAGCCTTCAAAGACCGTAAACTCTGTTCTTGAGTTTACGGCCGTAAACTCACTGAACCTTCAGAAACCGTAAACACCAGTTCACAGCCGTAAACCCTGTTCACGGCCGTAAACTACCAATCGACCGTAAACTCTTGTTCACGGCCGTAAACACCTTTTAAGTGGTGCTTTTGGCTGAAAACCCACTTTCATCGATTCGATCAAGTGCCGGTAACATTCCTCAACCGAATACAAGAGTTCCTCTAACACGTTATTTAACGAAATCGCTAATTTAGATACATATATGTATTTATTTGATAATAGGATTTCGTTAAGTGTCACGTGCAACAACTCGAGGATCTTCATTTTAGTCAACGCGTTCACGCCACAACTGTGAGTTCATACCCCTACATTTTCTGTATTTTTAATGTTTTTTAGGGGGGAATACAAGCTAAACGTAAATGTTTCCAAAACTTATGCAAATCTCATACTTTAACCCTTTTGTACTGTGTTGAGCATAAGGGGCGTTTTCACTAAAATTGCATAGTTTTCCGGACACGCTATTCACTATACATGCAAACTATAATCGGTATAGTTTGGGATTTTTCCTAAAACATAACAAGTACGGAAACTTTCACTACTAAACGTATACACTAATTCAGAAATAGTTTACAGTTTACATCACTACATTATCACGGTATTCATAACTGTAACATTCACTACATACGGTATACATACGGATTTTCACTACGATAAAACGCTACTACACTACATGTAAACTAGATTGTACGATACTGTGAGGCGCTACTTCACTACTGTACCCTTAGGTGTACAGGGATAAATCCTACCATTGTATAACCAGAGTCTCCTGGAGGGAGAGCGTGACATTTGTGAATAGATCTATTCGGGACTGACAATCCCACATCTGAACTGCTAGCTACAGTTAGGCGGGCACGCCTGGGATGTACAAATGTCATTTCACTCGACGCCTAAAGAACGTTGGAAAGGTCACTAGTCATATCAAGCATGGTTATACGACTCACAATATGTATAAATCACCTTTAGTTTACAATCTGACACTCTTCAATGGTTTTATTTATACTAAATAGAACTAAAACACACTACGTATACTAGCCAAGCCAGGGTTTTCAAACAGAACCAATTATGCTATGGCTTTACATACGAAATATTTATACTTCATGATTAGCTTTAGCTAGTCACATGAAGTAGTATTTTCGCATACCACTTCAGTTTTCAGTAACGAACATTCAGGGTTTTATACGAAATCGATAACGCTACATTTTCACTAAAGAAAATATCGGATTTTCTTGGAAGTATACAGATATTCATGGTTTATTACAGAACTGATAATACTACATTTTCACTAAAGAAAATATCGGATTTTCTTGGAACAATACAAACATTTTACGGACTCATAAACGATTTTCACTACAAACCACCACTTATGAACTCACCAGCTTTATGCTGATATTCTTTCAAACTGCTTGTATTCTCAGGAAATCAGTAGACAGGTACTTGTTGGATTTTGAGGAACTGGAGAAATAAGAGTTTTATGTTTATACTATACAAAGCTATTTGATGTAATTCAAACGAAGTTTCAGACAAAGTTTCAAACTGATGTAAACATTTTATTTAAGTATTCACTGTAATGGTTGTGTTGCTATGATTGCTGTTATTCATTGGTTGTGATACTATACATGACGTCCTCCACCCCAGAATGTTCTGCCATTCTGGTTTTGGGGTGTGACAGATTGGTATCAGAGCCCTAGTTTATAGCGAACTAGTATACCGAACCTTACGTGGTATACAACTATAAACACTAAGGGGCCTAAGTGCTCTACGCTAAAAGTATACTTTCAAAAATATAAGTATTTTTATAAAAAGTATACGAGCATGCATACATAACAGAATTCGTGTCACTAGTAGAGCAAAACAAAAAGTGTTTGGATGTTGGAATGCTACGGTTAAACCTGGGCAGTTATGTAATCATGTCTAGGGTGAATATAGCCTGATCAACTATATTCAGTCGAGACATGACCAACATGTGCTTGGGAGTGACTGTGGTGTTACAGCAGGCCTATAACTTACCAAAAATCATCTCACATAAAATACTATAGGATTATTTTCGCTAGAGCCAAACTCAGTATACAGATTCACTCTAAGCGTTGCTACCTCTTCTCCCTTAAGCGATAACTTACTTGCGTTAGTAACCTTTCTGTGCTTATCGCTCGGTAGTGTACTTTTATTATCAGGATGAGATATATCTTGTTATATATATATATATATATATATATATATATATATATATATATATATATATATATAATATATATATATATATATTATATATATATATATATCGAGGACTTACAATCCTCTTCTTTCGGATTATTTCCAGAGCAAGATGCCTCCTCGACCAAGACCCATCAGAAGGAACAACGACACTCCGCCACCACCACCACGTCCTCAATTCGATCCCGTCATGTTCCAGGCTGTAGTTAGAGCCGCCGTGACTGCAGCATTGGCACAAGTGAACGCTGGTGGGACTGGAGGTGGAACCGACCCACAGAGACAAGGTGGAAGTCAGGGACATCAAAAAGAGTGTTCCTACAAGGACTTCATTACTGCAAAACCCAAGTCCTTCGACGGAAATGGAGGTGTCATCGCCCTGACTCGATGGTTCGAGAAGATCGAATCCATCTTCTAAATTTGCGTCTGTTCTGAAGCAAACAATGTGAAGTTCGCCGCCTGCACCTTCACCGACAGAGCCTTGACTTGGTGGAATGGTCGAGTCAAAACCCTAACCCTGCCAGTGGCTAATGCCATGGGCTGGGAAAGACTGAAGGAGCTCATGCTCGCGGAGTACTGCCCGAGGGGCGAAGTGAAAAAGTTGGAGCACGAACTCTGGAACTTGAAGATGAACGGTTCCGACATCCCTGCCTACACTGCTAGATTCTGTGATCTGGCTCTCCTCTGTCCGGGCATGGTCACCCTGGAAAGCAAGAAAATCGAGATGTACATTTGGGGACTGACGCAACCAACAAAAGGGAATGTCTTGGCTGCTAGACCGATTACTTTTGAAAGCGCCAAGGATCTGGCACAAACTCTGATCGATCATGGAGTCGATCTTGATGAGGTGACGTCTGCTCCTGCACCACAGAAGGGGAGTAGTGGGAAGAAGAACTTTTGGAACAAGCACAAGGGCCAGTCCTCTCAGGAGCCCTCCAAGAAAAACCAAATAGTGGTAGTCCACGCTGCTACTACCCCTGCTACTACTCCTACTGCAGTCCCCGTTAATCCAACAAACCCCAGTCGCTATGCTGGAAAACTACCTCTGTGCAACAAGTGCAACTACCATCATCAGGGACAGTGCTGGGAGATGTCGTGCACCAGCTATGGCAAGAAAGGACACACAGCTCGATTCTGCAAAGGATCAATCCAACCAACCAATCAGGCTCCTGGAGCGGGTGTTGGCCAAGCCTGTTATGGCTGTGGAGAGGTTGGGCACTTCAAGAGAGATTGTCCCGAAGCAGTAATAGGTGGCAATGCAGGAAGAGTTCTGGTGATGGGCCAGGAGGAAGCAGTTGCTGATCCTACCATTGTTACGGGTACGTTCCTCCTTGACAACTCTTATGCATGCATTTTTTTCGATTCTGGTGCGGAGAGGAGTTTTGTGAGTCATGCATTCAAGCATCTAATAAAACATAAATCCCAACCTCTAACCGAAACATTTACCGTCGAGATGGCTAACGGAAAGAAAGAGAGCACTAACGACATATTCATCGGTTGTACTCTTACTCTAGACAATTATTCTTTTCCCATCGACCTTATGCATGTGTCCATCAAAAGTTTCGACGTCATTATCGGCATGGACTGGTTAAGCTCCAATCGTGCTGATATTCTTTGCTTCGAGAATGCTATCCATCTCAATCTTCCCTCTGGCGAAACCCTTATGATTTACGGAGATAAGCTTAGCTTGAACCTTCGTATCATCTCGTGCATCAAAGCTCAGAAGTATCTGCGGAAGGAGTGTCATGCATTCCTAGCTCATGTTGTCGA